ATGGGGGGATTTAAGTCAAACACATACAGCTAAACAAATAAATGACTGATGATTTTCATTCTGTAATGCCTAAAACATTGTGAATAAGCTACCAACTCATATGCTGTTTTTTCAATAAACATTATTTTCCCACTCAATTCCTGAATGTCTGTAACAACAACCAACTTGCAAGCAAATCAGAAGAATGAAATACCCAATCCAATCTAAACCAGGCTCTACATTCACCCTATTCCCAAGGCCTGGGGAGAATACTTCCTTCCCCTGTCCTCTTTATAGCCCCAAATAGCTGTCACGCTTAGATTTATATACTGCTTCATAGTGTTTTACAGCCATCTCTAAGCAGTTTACATGTTACTGTTGTCCTCATGTTACTGACCTTGGTAGGATGGAAGGTTAAGTCAACCTTCAACTGGTCAGGATCAAAATGTTGAACTGCTGGCAATTGGCCGAATTAGTCTGCAATACTTCATTCTAACCACTGCACCATTACTAGGGAAGGTCCCTTTTGAACCTCTTGCCCCTCCCACATTCCTGATGTAGGCTAAGTTGCCTTTTTATCTGAATTTTTGCCTTGTCTTCCAAAGTCATTCCAACATATCATTATGGGGCATACTTCTACATTTGAAACATGTGCAATTTGGGGTTCCTCTTGGCTCCTCAGTTCCTACTTATAGAGCAAGTAGCAACTCTGGCCAAGAGAGTCTTTGCACAGACACAGCTAGTATACTTGTTGCCCTAGTCACCACACAATTGGATTACTGCCATGCGCTCTACCTGGGGCTGCCTTTGAAGATCATTTGAATGCTACAGCTGGACCAAAATGTGGCAATGTGGGAAATGTTGGAGACACCTTACTGTTTCATGAGCTACAGTGGTTAGCAGTTTGCTTCTTGGATGTAATTCAGATTTATCACCTTTAATACACTTTGTGGCATAGAATCTTGCTACCTGAGGGATGTCTATCTGCAGTTTTCTCTGCCTGTCAGGTAAGGTCAAACAGGGTGGATAATTAGTCCCATCAATTAAAGAATGTCATTTTGCAGGATCCAGAAAGTAAGCATGCTATGTTGCAATTCCTGCTCTCTAGAATGATTTTACCCCAGAAATTAATATGATTCCCCCTCTAGCATTGTTGAAGAAATTATTGAAAACCTCGTTATTTTCAGACTTGCAAGTTTCTATTAATATAATCTTACAATAAAGTAGAATTAGCTAATCTGGTAATGTTTCCGTCTGGTCTATCTCATAAGGATGATATCCCATTGAGAGTCAATAATGGAGTACCTCTAGTTTTAAGGGCTCAGACAGACATAGCCTCGTAGTCTGATTGTGCTTTAACTCCTTTCCTACTTATACCCAAGTGCAGCGTTTCTGAAAGTCTTTCTGCTCAAGACTCTAATTTACTTTTAAAAATTAAGGAGGACCCTTCAGAGCTCGTTTGCATGGGCTACATTTATCAATATTCACAGTACCATATTAAAACTTCAAACTGTTATTTGTAAAATATTTATTGAATCATGTAAAAATAACAATATTAAATCTAAGTTTTTTAGGGCAAACTCTTAATGCTTCTTTAACAAGTAAAAAATAATGAAAAGAGTGAGATTTTTTTTAAAAAAATGCAAATATTTTCAATATTTGGAAAATAATTTTTTGTGCTCTCTTGATAGGGTCTGGGAGATCCTAAGGAGTCTTCATCCCATACTTGGTGCACTAGTGAATCAGGGAGGTATTTGTTAGACAAATATCTTGCCCCGCCCCCAGGACTTAAAGAATGTTTCCTTCTTCACTTAGATAACAGTTGTTGCATATTTCTGTCAAGGTCATCTCTCTTACTTTCTACCAAAATGCACCATTACTTTCTTCAAGGTTGAAGGGATCACCATCTGCCTCGAAGAAGCTGATGTCACCACATGGACCAGACTACAATAATGAAATGTGTGGATACCTTGAGGGACAAGGGGAAGAGATGTTGCCTAGGAAACAACCAGACAAGGGAGCCAGGAACCCTAGTGATTTAAGGGTCAGAGGAAGAAACTTCTGCCCTAATTAAACAGGAGGTTAAAAATGGTAGTTTGTACCTTTAGACTTGCAGGATTCTGTTACTAGCCTATAATAAAGTAGAATTAACTCATCTAGTCATGGTTCCTGTCTAGTTTATCTAGGAGGGACCTGGATCTATCAAGCAGTTGGCTTAGATGACAGATTGAAAACTCCTGTCTATTTCCTTGAGAGTCACAGAATAAAACTTGCTCTAAATAACCACAAAAGACCTTGTTTTGGGCACTGTCCAGTCAGAGTCCAACTCTGAGTGAATCCAAGCAATTTATATGCCAAATAGCAAAAATATTCCTCACAATAACCCTGCATATGCTCTGCAATCTGTCCCTTCTCAGCAGGGATTTGTTCTCCCTGAACTGGGTTGCTGAGCAGCTATCAGCAAAAACAATAAGGGTAAAGAAAAAACATTTTTTCTGCCCTTATTGCCACAAGGTAAGCCCTAATATAAGTTCTTACTCATGCTCAATCAGATTCACTCTTCATCTTCCTCCACTGGTACTCCAGGCATATCTTCTTTCTCCTTTGCAGAAACTATGAATTTTGCTGAAAGGCAATGTCCACATCAGCAATTTATTTTCAAAACCAGAAACAAAACCAGAGTCTGAAATACATTCTATCATGGTTTACCAGTTCAGATGATAGAATTAACCAGCACAAATGAGCTTTACCACATGTTAATTGGAGGAAAGAATGTACATTTTAGATCTTTAAACCATGATTTGGAGGACTGTCAGAAATACATCTAGCATTAACATCATGACCTTCAGAAAACTCTCAGCATCCATTTTGAGACAAACCACCTTAATAGGTCTACTGCTCTCACAAATGTCCAGGATGCTCAAAATGTGCAGTCTGACCATGAAATGTGCTCTGGCCACGGGAAAGGACAACATTAATATTTTCCATATTTCAATCGTTTCATCTGTCATGAAGCAAAAATTAATTAAAATATGTATCTACCTTTGTCAGTTGCAACTAAGATTACTGGGACAAGTTTCATGGTTGCCACTCACAAGCCAATCCAAACTCCGTATCTAAAATATGGAGGCTCAAGTCCCCACAAAGTATCAAGTGACCTCAGCATCAGTCCCAGAAGGAAGTATAAAACCTTCTGAAGGACAATAGCTAGATAGCAGAATGGTCAGAACATGTGCAGAAGGCTAAGCCCTGGCTTAACATCATGTACAGACATTCACACCCACTTATTGCCAGAATTGTGCTCTTATTCACTTCTAAAGCCTTCTGAATGTTCACAGCAACACTTCTCCAGATAACCCAGGAAGGCAAATCTATGACAGGGCATATCCCCATTGCTATGAAGCCAGGCCTCAATAATACATACAAACATTAGATCATGAGTGGATAGCAATAGTATTTAGACTTATATACCGCTTCATAGTGCTTTCACAGCCCTCTCTAAGCGGTTTACAGAGTCAGCCTATTGCCCCCAACAATTTGGGTCCTCATTTTACCCACCTCGAAAGGATGGAAGGCTTAACCTTGAGCCTGGTGAGATTCCATCTGCCAAACTGCTGGCAGCTGGTGATTAGCAGAAGTAGCCTGCAGTACAGTACTGCATTCTAGTCACTGTGCCACCGCAGCTCATGCCATCTTATCTTGCATTTCATCAGCAACCTGAAACCCTGGTGGTCTCCTGGTTCTCTCAGCCATACTTTCCTCTCTACAACATTGAATCAATATGGTTCTCCATTCGCATTGCACTTATATCTCTCCGCATTTGTATGCTCATCAGATCATAGTATGTGGACCAATTTTGCTACTCTATTGAATCCAACAATTCTCAGGGTTCCCATTTATACAATATTTATGTATTACCTTCAATTTTAACAAATGCAATTTCAATTTAATTATTAAAAAATCCTCCATGCTCACTTGGAGATTCCTTCCCCTATTGTCACAGTCCAAGAATCAATTCTCACTCAGCATTTTTACATTGTATCCATTTTGCTTTTGCTTCTGGACAGATTTTTTGGCCAACAGATTTGAGTTCTGTTTATGCTCTCTATGCACAACCTATAGATGAGCTTGAGAGAATTTTGCCGGCACAAAGTTCTTCAGCCAGCATACCTCCACTGTTCTCACATATATCCCAGGTCACCCATATCTGCCATGTCACTCACCTCTGTTTTTCTACCTAGCTTCTACCTTTGTTACTGTTTTTCACAGGACTCTCCAATCCATGGCTTCCATTCTCCAGCAGATGAAATAAAATGACAGCTATTCAGCCGCAAATGGCAGCTGCCACTTTATCTTATAGTTCCCAAAAGATACTGGCCAAAGGCAATTGTTATTTCTATTTCTGTTGCCTTGTCAATCTTTGCTGCTATGGAAGGACAACTCCATGTCATCACTAAGTCACATCACTAATCAGTTCCTTTTTTTTTTTACCATTTAAAATTTTTGTTCATTATCCTATTCCCCCCACCTATCGGTTTTATTCCACTTAACTTTCTCTCTATCCTTCCTTCTAATTCCAACTTGCCCGAGCCTTACTGCCTTCATCCTCTGTCTCATTTTTCCTTCATCATTCATTCTATATACTCACTTTAACATTAAAATCCCTTGGTAGGACAGCTGGGTGCCATTTCATAAGAAGAATAAGCATGGGAAGTGGCCCAAAACCTGTAAATGCTCAGAATTCATTAAACAGTAGGAAACAAATTGGCCCTTGTGATAGTTGGCCTTGCAGATTTAGACTAACCCAAATCTGATTCATATTCAAATATTTTCTTATATCCTTTGGTGTGTGGAAGTCTCTTGTTAAATTTTAAGACTGTTGTTAGACTGTCTCCACTTTATCACTCATGTATATCTACCTGCTTTAACAATATAAACATAGAAGTACTTTGGAATTTTTTAATAACATAGAAAACCTATGTAATAATAGTAACAATAATGATTTCCAACTCAATGCTTACCTCCAAATAGATCGAGGGTGGATTGTGTTCTCCTCCAAATTTGTCTAGTAGAGCTTCTATATGTTCTTGGGTTAACTTAATCATCTGTTTGATATTCCACACCTAGGAAAATTGGGAAATATTTCAGTATTCTTAATAAAACATATTAAAAAGTTTTAAACTTAGTATCTCAAATATATGCTGACGACCAATTCACTTCCTAATGTTGTTAGCTATGATGTGTGCACACCAATGTATAGTCATTACATATATAATGCAACCTAAAAAAACTGCTCAATAAGTTTCTATCTCATTGTATAGCACACAATGAAACCAGCAATATATTTAGAGGCTGGGAACAAGACCCAATGCCTACTCATAAAAGTGCATGATGCAAATATGTGGCATAGATGATGAAGTACATAGGCTGCCATGGGAAGTTTTAAAAAAAACACCACCAGAAAGCAGCTAGGGCCAATGATTTGTATAGTTTTCTGTTGCCAAGAAAACTATAGAGGTGGTCCTCAACTTACAACCACAATTGAGCCAAAATTTCCATTACTAAGCAAGACAGTCGTTAAATGAGCTTTGCCCCATTATACAAACTTTCTTGCCAAGTTGTTAAGTGAAACACTGTAGTTATTAAGTTAATAAGGTGGTTGTTATGTGAACCTGGCTTCCCATTGACAATGAAGGTCAAAAAAAGTGATCACATGACTCCATGAAACAACAACCCTCATAAATACATACTAGTCATCAGGCATCCAGATTTTGATATGTGACCATGGGGATGCTACAACTGTCTTAAGTGTGAAAAATGGTCTTAAATCACTGTTTTCACTGCCATTGTAACTTTGAATGGTCACTAAATGAATGGTTGTAAGTTGAGGACTACCTATAGAGATATACCCATGTAATCATTGAGACTAGATTTGAGAGTTCAAAGCATGGATAAATCTGTAACTGTGTTGCAAAGAAATTTCTATAAGAAACAATGTAAACCATCTTATTATGTCTACTTCTATTCTCTTGTCAGCATTGATAGGATTATTACTATGGGATTGTAAAGGGAGCTATTTGTAAAATACATGTAAAAACAGTAACAATTAGCCAAAAAACAACACCTAATAATTTAAGTACTTGCTTCTGAAAAAAAAATGACAGTACACTGAATGTTCATGAAATCACCAGAGACTTAGCCATCTGTCAAAAATGTGAAGAACAGAATTCTAGAACTATTTATTTATTGGAATAACATCTTATCCTCTCAGTTCTGATGAACACTAAGGATGGTTAATAGTTATTTAAAAAAAGGGGGGGCAAGGATAGTTGATGCGCAAAATATACATTGCAATGCTTATTGCAAAGCCTCTCAACTATCAAACGACAACCCGGCCTTCACGTGGTGCCCCCCGTTCCCACCAATCGGGCTCTGTCGACCCTTGGGACTGGCGTCCCCTTGGGTATATCCAGCCAAAACAGCTTCCGTGGATCGTAACAGTGGCGTCAAATTTCCATGGAAGTCGCCTATACCCACGATGGGTGAAGAGGCGTCAAGTACAAGTACAAGTACAAGTACAAGTAAAGAACCAGCCTGAGGTGTCTGTACCAGCAAAAACTGAGCTCAGGTGGGCCACGTGCGGCCCTCCCGAGCTCCCTTTTCGCTGGTAGAGGGTTGCAGAAAG